ATAAAAGTATATATATACTTTATTGCTTCACTCCTTATTTAATTTATCTGTTAACCTGAAAACGTAACTATCCTACGCTTCAATTATAAAATGTACAACAATGTACAGGGTGTCACAAAACCTAACCTAACCTAACTAGTGTACATTTGTGAATGTGTAGCTTAAATAAAAACAAACAGTAATGAAGTTACTGAATCTAAAACTTAACTGTATGCAAGTAATGGCTTAATATAGTTTCGTGCTCACTCAGCATAAATGCATTTATTAACATACTTCGCAGCTCAAAGGTGAAATATGGCCAGTCCTGTACGACTGCGACTCTTAACAATATACAGTACCACTAACAAAGCTACATCACTGAGCTGTGAGGAAACTACATAAATTATCTAAAGTAATTATTTAGTAAAAAAATTCAATAGCAGGGCGTGTTTTAATTGTTTTAATAACATATTTGTAAATGTAACACACTTACATTATTAACTTTAAATTTAGCACAATTGAAAGTGGCTGGGTGATACAAACCACCCTCGGCACAGAGAAGGCAGTCGATGACGATCCAATACCGGCCAATACTACGGGGCCATTATCAAGCCATCGCTAGAAGCCGCTCTCGGCCTGGAACCAATAACCGAACCAATACCGGCCCGAAATCGGCAGCCGGTGCCGGGCCCGTGGCCGGATTATTTATTTCAACCATCTTTGGGCCGAATATGGAAGCCACTGTCGACCTGGAATCGGCAACTGGTGCTGACCCGTTGCAGATAATTTGTCTGAACCATTGTTGGGCCGTAGCTGAGAGCCGTTGTCGGCACCGGAATTGGCGGTTGGCGTCGGGCCGGATTCGGCAGGGTGTAGCAAAACCAGAACTGGGCCGAAACCAGCACCCGACGCTGGCTCGATAACCTCTCCCGTAGCCGGCCCGCGCCGATTTTCTTTGCTACTTACAAAGCTAAAGTCAAATCAGCACACTCGGGTTTCCCCCGTCAAGGTGCTACCGGCTCGACAAAAGAGTAACCGAAGCAGTAAAAAAAAAAAAAAGTCAGTCGTCGTCACAGGTCGAGTTATTGCTTCTACTACTACTAAGCGTTGTTATGTATGAAGAGAGTTATTGCTTCTCGATGAACTAAAGCGGCCGAAAAATTCTCGTTTCTATTGGTGGCGTGTGCGAACTACAGGGGGCACTTCTCTAGCTATCATCATCATCATTTGTGACGTTACGGGTAGGACAGACTGGGACAGACCGCGGAGATCTTGGATCCCTCAACTCGTCAGCTCGCTTCATGCGCTGTTTGGGTTACGCGCGTCAAAGCCTGTTTCACCCGTTGTGTTGATTTGGTGAAGTGATATTTGCAGTAGGACATTTTACCAAAGCTCGAAACCGTGGCAGGCGTAGTCGTGCTCACAAACACTTTTGGCGCTGAGGTGTTGAAGCGCTCGGATGGTGGTGGGCTGTTCGCCACCCTATAGTATACAAAAAGTTGGATTATGAAAGTAGAATATCCAGCGCTTCATCGCACTACAACGTCTGCCACGGCGAATGAAGTGTTTTTTTTAAATTATGATTCGGACAAAATAAAATGAAGAAAGAAATGTCTCATCAAATTGAAAAGAGGAAATCGAAATTCGAGAACATCTCTCGTGTGGAGTAAACAATTCAGTGAAAGCGAACTGGGACTGTCGTGCCGACAAAGCTACCGGTCTTTTTTCTTTTTTTCGGCGCTGATCATGTTTTTGTTCTTGGAGATTTTATGTATGTTGTTTGTTTTCCGCTTTGTTTTCTGTGGCCGGTTGAATTTTGTTTTTTTTCTGTGTCGCAAGCGTGCGAAAAAACAAAATAAAACAAACGGAAGATTGTTTTTTTTTTTTGTATTCCCAGGCGTTTTAGGGCTAGGTTGACAACGGGCGTTGAATGACCGTTACAAATCTTGTTTTCAGAGTGGGGCACTGACTACGAACGTTGACACGAGGGGAATAAGTCGGGGGTTCCGCACGGAATGCTCGTGTAAAGAGTTCTACCGAGGCGCTGTGCACGGTGGAAAATTGTTTTTCGTGCGAGTCGGTACTCGCACGACAAACAATTTTACGAGGTTTGATTTTGACTTGGAGTTAATATAATTTTTTAGAACTTTAATTTAGAAAATTTATTATAAGAAAACAAAAATACGTCTTTGGTGTCATAAGGTTCGACGTTTGGTGCTATAAAGTTCAGTGAAATCATACATCCTTGCTTTATTACCTACAATATTTAATAATTATACTTTTTCAGATGATCTATTAAGTCACTACAGATCGGGTTTCAAATTTTTTAACTATTTGCATTTTATTTTCGCACTTGTTTCCTAGCGCCTGTTTGAAAACAGGTGAAAGCGCTTCATTAACTTCATTGTAATTCCCTCTCTTTGTATCTAAAGGAAAACACTATGGTTTCTCATTCAGCTAAAAGTGGAAGCAGAGCTTCAGTTCCAAAGCACAATGGTCACCATGCTGAAAAAACTGGAGGAGGTGAAAAGGGCCTTCTGCGGAGACGATCCAACAACATTTTTGAACATTGAAGACCACCTCCGGTCTCGACTGGCCAGAACTTCTCTCATCACCACGGGACGTGAAAAAGCGAATACAAAAAGTACCCAATCTCCACGTGGTGAATGATGTTGATTGGGGCGAAGCTGCTGACGATACTGATTTTGGACATAGGTAGTGCTGATGGTGCCGTTTTCATTCATGTCAGTAAAATAATGTGTAGTTTTCTTCTTTTTCTTTTTGTAAAAAGACAGATAGGATGGCATCTCAGAGCCCCCTATTTTTTCTTCTTCTGTTTCTTTTCTTTTTTTTTTCATCTTTTTTTCGTTTTTTTTTTCTTGCTCTCGCTGCTGAACTCACGAGCAGGAGCTCGTGAGCTCCTGTTCGTGAGCTCACAAGCAGGGGCACGCCGGACGTTTTTTTTTAATTTTTTTTTTCTTGCTCTCGCTGCTGAACTTACCAGCAGGGGCACGCCGGACGGCGGACGGACATACGGACATGGCTAGCCCCTAAGGAGCTTCGCCCCTAAAATAGAAATGTAATTTTGGCGCTGTCACAATTTTCGAACGATTGCTGCTTGCGGACGATCGTATCCCAGACGAAAGACTTCCAGAACCCAAGATTTTCTTCGGTTCGGAAAAACAGATCGTTTCTGGGAAGCAGTCAGTGAAATTCTCCTTTTGCACGACTCTGGAGGAGGCACTAGTCATGTGATTATGCTTGTATTACATAAGGGGACTCTCCTACCCTGAGGCATATGGACAAACCCTTGGGCTCCTCTAGTGTCTGCTCGTTAAAGATGACGAGTTTCCGATTCAATTCATGTCGGAGAAGCTCAGAAAATTGCTTATGGCCTTTCAAAAACAAAATAAATTCTGAGCTTCTGCTGACCGCAAGAGACGCCCCGTAATTGTTTTTAATGCTATGAAGCAGGTAACTACACTCTAAAAAAACCATGAACCTACTTTCCCGAACAACACTTGGATAGTCAATCACCGTAACTCACGGAGGCAGCTCAGTGAATCACGATGCCGAAACATAGGATTAGACCAAAAAACGCAGTTTGAGTTGTGACATTAAGCAATAGAAAAAGTCACGCTTGCATTGCTTAGTATCACAACTCGGACTGCATTTCGTTTTCTTTTTTTTTTTTTTTTTGTATCATTATACGTTTTGGCATTGACATTTGCTGAGCTGCCTCCGTGAGTTATGGTGATTGTCTTTCGAAGTGTTGTACGGGAAAATAGACGCACGGGCTTTTCTTAGAGTGTAGTGTCATTTTTCGTGATATCCGCTGAAAAAAGGCATTTTCAGCATGGTCGCATTGTTATTGCTTAGGATAGCCAAAAAGAGTCACTTTGCAGCACGAAATTTTTTGTGTGATAGCTCCGAAAAAACGCCGATTCTGGCGTCGTCCTAACGTCTTTTTTTATCTTTATAAGCTACCAGAATATTGTTATAAAATTAATATTTTCATATATATATATTGTATTGTGTCATGGCAAATAAAACACGCGTTTACTTTTAGAGATCGGTACTGTGTTATTTTTCATATTGATTTCGCTTATCAAACATAATATACCGATCAATTTTCAATTCTGCTACGCAGCATAAAATAACTTTGGCTAAACAATATCAGCGAAAGTGCGCGAATAGACTACTTCCATAAAGCCCTGCATGCAACACGGCGCGCGTTGCACTCTGGGAACTAGTTGGCCAGGGAGGCGGGTGGCATGGTTTCGGTTTCGATCGACACGTCGACAAGAGATTGTTTTCTGGTCCTGAGTGCGTCATTTCTGGTCTCTAAACTAACCTAAATGGCCAGACCTCGAAGCTTTAGCACAAGCCCGAGATGTATTGCTAGTCTTAACACATGCTTGTTGTATTTTTGTACTTGAGCCTTCCTGTTAGCGTTCCAATCGAGGTATGTGGACGAGCCAGTGCTGGGAGTCTCGACGCTGCGAAGCTCGGGTGCTCGGGGATCTTGCTTGTGTACGAATCAACAAGCTGTAGCAAACAATAAGTTTGCATACATCGAGCTCGCGCCTTTACATTAGTGTTGTTGATCAGGAAGTTTGTTTGCTTCGTGCGTCCATAGACGAAATGTTACTTTTTGCAATTACTGTTTTTCTTAATGTGCCGGAGTACGCGAGGTAAAAACTCGGAGGTGCCTTTGAAAAGCTCAATTTTAACACACTTCTTATATCTCTTATCTTTACTGACCCGCAGCACTGCACGAAGTGAAGTCTCCACCCGCTTGCATTCCTCTAATATTCAACATCGCGTATGCGCATAAAGTTATCCTGCAATCATATAGGCAAATTCGCGCATAAGAATGCAAAAGTCGAGCACTTGTGTGAAGAATGTCGCACCGTTCGTGCGTGCGTCAGACGCACGTTTTGCCCCGTTTTGCACCGATCAAGAAATTACAAGAAACAGGCCTCTTTAACACCCTTGAGGAGCGCATCAGCTTCCACCACTCCGCCCAGTACCAGCGCCTCCAAACATCCACACAGGGCAGGAACATCCTCAGAAGTCTTCATTTCGACATATCCAACATGCCTGACATCCCGCCACTGGAACCACCATGGGACAGTGTGCCAAGAATAGAGATCAGGCCAATACCAAAGAACATGCACCGCATCGAGAACAAGGCCCGGCGGGAACACCGCACATTCCACCTTTCACATAACACTACCACCACATACTACTACACGGACGCCAGCTACAACAACGAGACAAAACTAGGCAACACAGCTGTTGTTGACCCAGAATTCAAGAAGGCCCATCACCACTCCAACGCCCCTACGTCAACATCACTTGAGATCCAGGCCATCGCAGAAGCCATCCAGCAGCACAATGGTACCGACAACATCACCATACGCACAGATAGTCAAAGCGCCATACGCCACTTCAGACAGAACACGCTACCGGTTCACATCAGAGCTGTACTAGTCAAGCATATGTACGAACACCCCAAACTCCACGTTTTCCTAGAGTGGATACCAGGTCACCAAGGGATCGAAGGGAACGCTCTAGCCCACGAGCTCGCCCGCGACCATGCCCCCCGGGGCCCTCCGACTCCCTGGCCGCAGGACTACGACCCGTACGATCATAGAAAGATCCTACACAAGGAGCGCACCCGTGCACTTAAAGAACTCAGGCATAATAACACATCACTAAGATCTCCATCGCGTATGCTCAACAGAGAGGATGCCACCATCATACGTAGAGCACAAACCGGCACGCTCCTTACGCTACACCACAAGCACCATATCTCAGGAGCGCCAGGTACGCCCAGATGCAGAAGTTGTGGAGGCTACCCGAACAATGAGCACCAATTATGGGCTTGCACAGGCGTCATACCAGCCAGAAACGCCATCATAAGCAGGTTGCCACCTGCACATCGCCCCCAGAGCTGGGAGGATTGGATTAACCCCCCTCCTGAGTATGAGCCCACCCGTTGGCCCCTCCTGGTCCAGCACGTGAAAAGCACCCTGGACGAGGAGTGGTGACCAAAGCAAGCATCGGACTGGATGCAATAAAGATGTTTGTTCTCTCTCTCTCTCTCACACTTCTCGATGTGAGACCTCAACTGCAGAATACTGACTCTTCGTCCTCAATTTTTACAGCGCGCGAACTAACCAACGGTGCAGCGATAAAGAGCTAGTGGAACTGAAACTTCGTTTTCTACGATGGCTCGTACAAAAAGCAGAATAAAAAAATAAAAAAAAGTCTTAGGCACGGTCGCTGAGAGCACGAGGAGTGAAACTCACGTGGCTTCCGTCGAACCTATACTTTTAGTGACGTAGGTCGATACCTTTCTTCTGGCCGCCCCGACACATTGCGGTCCACTGTTACGTCACAGTGCACTGGCGGGAACTTTGAATGGGGCCTCGTATTTCTATTTTTTATTAAAAAAAACTACGCACCTCTATAGTGAAACAATTTTTTTTGTAATGTCCTGATATGCCATTTCAACGCCTAGCATGACAAAAACAATTTTTTTTTTGGCGTGTCAGAGGCCTTTGCATTTTAAGCGGGCCACCGTCCCTCCAAATTTAAGGGGGAAATATTTAAAAAAATGTCCCTCTTAGTAAGTGGGACTGACCTCAAATTAAAGGGGGACGCCTTATCGCTTACTTTAAGAGGAGTGGTGTCTCACTTAAGAGGGAGCGTCCCCATGTCCCACTTACTAAGTGGGGCGAGGCTTAGAGTTTATCCAGCGCTTCATCGCACTACAACGTCTACCACGGAGAATAAAGTGTATTTTTTTTTTTTATGATGAGGACAAAATAAAATTAAGACCGGAATATCTCATCAAATTGAAAATAGGAAACCGAAATTCGAGAACCTCTCGCGTGTGTAGTAAACAGTTCAGCGAAAGCGACTCCGTATATTCTGTTGGTTCCAATCTGTTCAGTGAGTGCTGGTCTTTCATTAGTTCCGAGTTTATTCCTTTTTTTTTGTTTTATAGACCAGCAATATAACATTTTCTCAAAATAACTGGCAGGAAGAAGCGATGGCTGGCTTCCGCAGTCGTTCGCAACTATATTCCTGCTGATTCACCCCGTCGACGCGAAACGTTAAGACCCCCTCGCGATCGAAGTCCTAAATTATAAGTCGGTGACATTTCAGCGTCCCAAAAATGAAGAATAGACCTGCTATGAATTCCTAACGTTTGCATATTTAATGTTTGCAGACTCTAATGCGTGATGCGCTTCTCAGTGAGCGATTTTAAATTCGTAAACAATTCTTAGTGAAAATAGGATAGAACAAATTAATCAATCGCCTGAATTTGCCAGGCCAAGGCCGACACTTTAATAATTTGTGAAAATTTCTGCTTTTTTTTTTTTTCGAGCAGAAATCACGATGTGAAAATCTTCTTTGCCACGTATTCGATTTGAGGGGAGCTAAGCCTCAGTTAATTGTTGACGAGCATTTACTCGTCAGCAAGTGTCGAGTCATACTTGGATAGAAGCGTCGGGCAAGCTCAATGTAGCTAAAACAAGTGTGCGGCGCTTTGCAACACAACTGTGCGCGCGTGCACAGCCAAGAGGACATCACGTCATTTACTCTGATGAATGCAAAACCTTTTTCCGCAACAACCTCCACGGATCCGAAAAAAAAAAAAAGAATCAAAGAGTCTTTGAATAGCCCCAAGGCACGCCGCTCAAGCTACAATATGAAGCTCCAGGCTTTTTTTTTTTTTTTTCTAATTTAAAATTTTTTTAAAATATAAATAGCAACTTCGAGGCACTATTATTCACTAGAAAGATCACTCACAAAAACGTCATACACGTTTCTTTAATAAACAACTTTTAATTAGCATAGATGCGAACTAGCATAGCCACTCCGTGCTTTGAGCTTTGACATAGCGTGTCGTCTGCTCGCCGCCTACCGTCTGCGCCGCAGGAGGGGATCCGCGAGGTGGCGCCACCAAAACATCTCGTCGCCAATACCACGCTTCACCTTACGACGAACCACGCGGGACGCTAAGAGGCACCGGAGCCAACCCAGGCAACCTTCTGGGGTGGCGCAGCGACGCTGGCGGCACCAGTGATCGGCTCGCACTAGCCTGAACACCCGAAGCCCGTGCATTAGCGCTGCGTCCTGATCGAATTAAGATCCAGTGAAAATTGGGCACGAGTCTTGAGCCAGCGTTCGGCTGGCCCTCGTGTCCCATTAACGGGTCGAATGACGTTCGGCATGTCGGGCTCGGGTCTAATGCCGAGAGCAAGTCGTCTGCTTCTTGCTCAGGAGTGGCGGTGACGTCAGAACGACGCCGAACTCTTATTGGCTGATTAAAAAAAAAAACACTGCTCAATGCCTTAAGGCCTACCCACTATTTTTTTCTTTCAATCAGGAAATAAGAGCTTGTCCAAGCAGCGGACGACTTTCTCTACGCATAGCCGAGTTGGCGTCATCCAACTGGTGTGACGTTCCAAGGAGGAAGAAGACCACGTTCGCACTATAAGTGGTTTTGGCTACACTAATACCAGAAAACAAGGCCAACGAGTCCTCCCCCCAAACGTCATTACTATAGCATAGTCGATTACTATAGCATCCCACAACGAACGCAACGTTGGCTCGCGGCGACGCCTTGTTGTTGGGGTGGTAATGCCTGGACACACACGCTGGGATGACTCGTAGCGCCCGCTTCGGTCCACTACAAACGTGAAACGGAGTACATAGCGCGCCTAACGTTCGCGGACGCCTTCGAGCAGCGTTGAAAGGAGACAAGCGGTAGCTCGTGAAAAAATAATTGGCTTGCTCTGTATGTTTATACAGCCTTGATGGAGATGCGCCTCAACGGGTAATTGGTCTCTTAGCTGTAGATGAGAAATTTCGCCAGTGCGGTACAACCGCTAACCTGGGATTTTTAACGTGCATCACGCAGTAGTGATCACACGAACGCGTGCCGGTACGAAACTCATCCAGATCGAAACGGGCGTGGGCGGCGGGGATTCGAACCCAGGAGGTTCCCAGCGCAAGCTTTCGCTCCACGCTCCGAGCTGAGACGCGTTAGCCCACTCGGCCTCGTGACGTTTTTGCTTGCCGTCTTCGATGTCGAAGCGGACACCGTTGGAGTTGACCTCGCGTGTCGCCAAGGCTGCAGGTTTACTCGGGGCGGCCAGGCAAACGGCCGCGGTCACGAGAGCTGGACAATAGCGACGGACAAGATCACTGCCCGGCATTTGCGACGCGTGAGTGTCAACAGAACGACCGTCACGGGGTACCCTTTTTCCCCCCCGACTCTCGTTTTCAGTTTTACACGTTTCGGTCACTCGGTCACCGGGTGTCGCAAATTCTCGTTGCGGCCACGAAAGTGCGGCCTCCTGGTCCTCGTAAACATGCATTCCAATGATCGTCTCCTCTCTGCGAGCTGCCGTCATTCTTTACTGAGCGGTAGACGGCGTTCCGAGCACTCGCGCAATTGTTCTCTTCCCCTAAATGAACGTATACACACCGCTTATGAGACCGCAACAACCCAGTGACTATGCAAGTTTTGCCCGGGCAAGAAGCGGTGGAAAGAGCTAGAGTCGGCAACAGCTTCGGGAAACCTCTAAGACACGGTCGGATTGCTAATGCATTATAAGAGAAGAGTCAGCGGACAGTGTCTTCCTTGTATGACTGTCTTGCCACACTAGTCACACACAAACTGTCTGCCTGCATGTTCGAAGAGCCGACATTCGGACGCCCCGCCGGAGCCGCCGTGCTCGGCGAGCGCGCGGCGATGGCAGCCAGGAGCTTGAACCCCAGCGGCGAAGGCTTAGAGCACCCTCAGCGGCGCCGCGGAGAAGCACAGGTGCGCCAGCCGGGAGCTGAGCACCTAACAGTAGGACACGCAGCCTCGCACCCTCAACTTGAACAGCGCATGCGCCGAGGGTTCCCCCGATTGCTGACAGGCGGCGCAGGATGTACGGAGCGGCACGCGCACCGGTGATCACCTTTCATTTCCACCTGATAGTACATACTATTCAGTACTACCCAAACAACATAAGTGATCCATGTTATTTTCTGGCGAAGAGACAAAATGCAGTCGCTTTTTCTCAGAGGAGTCTGGTTCATTTTGCATCCCTGAAGTCGCGTAGACACTAGCGCCATTTGAACCTCTAGCTTACACTATAGTAATTCTATGATTAAAGTAGTATCGGAGCGGGCAGCGCTTCACTATGCGGAGTTGACACGGAAGCTGTCATTTGTGGCGCTGCCAACATCTGCCAAGGCAGAGCCGTGTATTGGGAGAGTTCGGCCAATAGGCGGAGCAAAGGCCGCCGCCAGCGCCGAATATTCCCCCTGCGCTTAGAGCGTAAACTAAACTTGTGACACAGCGTCGACCAATCAGGAGACCGCAACGTCACAATATTGCAAACGACATTTAAAGCGTGAAATAGAAGCGCTCAATCTCGGCCTCTCTACTCCTTCTCACAAACGTCTGCAGTAAAGACAAAGGCGCGGGCGCGTGAGCCTAGCTCAGCGAAATGCTTTTGTTTGTACGAGAACTCGTGCATAGGAGGCACTTTTCAAAGCCACGCGCTCGTGCCCATGGCTTTGTCTGCACTGCTGATGTTTGTGCAGATGGAGTATTAGTGACAGTTCGCTCTGGGCCGGCTTGCTAAAACAACGTCTAAGCTAAAACTGTCTGAAAAAAAAAAAAAAAAGAAACAGTGGTGGGGCGCGCGAGCGTCTTAAGACGCGGAGTCCCGCTCGGCTCGAGCGCTGGCTTTTGCAGTGCTTTCTTTCTGCGTCTCGGCCGAGACGCTGTTTCGAGCAAGTCGGCTCTGGTTTGAGCGCACGTTCCTTTATTCTACACTCGAATATTGGCGTGACTAAAACCTCACACTCACAAAGTTTTCAGTCACCGAGAGCTAAACATTTTCACTCTAGCGACACTAAAACGGCTCAAATTAGTCGTGTCACATACTTAGAGCACACGACCACCGCTAGGGGCTGTTTCGCGGCCTGTGGTTGGCCCCGAGATGCTCGCCTATTCAAACCAATGTATGGCCAAACTCTCTCAATAAATGGCTCTGTGCCAAGGCGGAGCGGCGCGCCCCCTATAGGTGTCGCACGATCCCAATAAAGTCCTCAGTAACCATATTAAT